CAGCAGCCAAAGTTCATAGTCCTGTACCTGACATGAGCAAAGTTTGCAACTGGAATAACGCCATTTGAATTTGAGAACATGGTGAAATCCACTGGAATGTACCTCAGGATAAGAAACTTGTTAAGAACTCACCAAAACCAGCAGAAAAAACAAAAAGGCTTCTGAATAACTCCTTGACATAGTGCCAATGAAGCCATTTAATTATCTATAACTTTGTGTTCTGTTCATTAGTACCAAATGAGATGATTGTTTTCCTATTTGTCCTCCCATGTTTAAAATCTATCCAAGGCTTAATTGTGGCTTTTAAAGTCAGGCCTATTTTAAAGAACAGAAAAGACTGGCTTGCTGGTTTCTATTATTTATTCTTAATGTTGTGGGGGACGGGATGTAAGTCCAGAGCTGGTTTTAGAGATAGTTCGTTAAGTTTATACTACTTTTAAGGTCGTGAGTGTCTGTCAGGAGTGATGGTTTTATCTGTCTTTTGTAAATGCTGATTTCCCTTTCTAATTTTGTTTGCTAATTATCCTGTATATAAGTTAATATATCACTTTTTAAAAAAAAGAAAAAATTCTAACCATTTTAAAATGCATATTTCAACTCAACCAAATGAGAAAAATCAGGATGAGCAGCTTTATCCCATTTGGGGTATTTTTTGTAAGTGATTTACACACATCAATTTAATAACACTTTACTTTTTTTTTTGTAACTTCATTCTTCATAAGTTTGCTATGGGTGCGTTCATCTTTGTGTACAAGTTTAATAAATCATTTCATATACATATCTAAGACTTTGAATACAAAAAAAGTGATTCACAGTTAGTGTACTTAACGTTGTAAAGTTTGAAGTAAATTATGTGGTTGCAAAAATTAGTGGTAGCAAAGAAAATCTAGGAAAAATGCAAGTTTGAGTGTTTTCAGTGTTATTTTCAGCCTTAACTACAGAGGACAAGCAAAATCTTTTTAAAGTACTTATTTTGAAAAAAAAAAAATGAGGGCAGCTAGCCTTTGTACAAAATAACTTAAATATTTGAACCTTAAGATAATTAATGCTTAAAATAAAATGAGCATAAAATAAATTAAACAAACTTTTAATTGTTGATATATAACATGGAGATGAATTATGTTTTTTTTTGTATTTAAATGGAATGCCATCACATTGTAACAGTCGCATCCCTGAAAATAAACATACATAGCTGATCTTGAACTTTAGTCTCAGGTAGTGTGATCTTGCTCTGAGGCCAGCAGAGAATAACTACAGCCATTCTGGACCATTCCAGATTTCCTTTTCATTTTGAGGACTTGAATAACCAAATTTCTTCTATAAAGAATAAAGGAAAGGACAATCGTATGAAAAGGACAGTTTATTTTCAAGACCCTCACAGAACATGCTAGAAATTAATTGAGTAAAACGTTAAGTCCTTTGGCTTCTTTCTCTTGTGTTGAAATACGTGAAGAAAGTTTTTCTATGATAGTGCTTTTATATACGTTATCTTACTCTTTTCCTGTCAAGTAAATGTTGGCTACTCACTACTTAAGTATGTAGGAGGAAACTGGTGGCCTTGAGGTTACAAGGACTTGTCAGCATAGAAGTGGTCTTCAGCCAAGGACCCAGTCTTCCTGAATCCTAGAAGTAGCTAAGTGCCCCCCCGTAAGTGCCTGCACACTGAACACCAGAGATGCCTAGCCGTTCTCTCCTTAGCAGGAGCCACAGATCTCATGTTAAGGTGTTTTGGTGGTGGTACCCCAGCCCTCCCAATCCCCATATTAGGTAGGTGTGATTAACTTGACATTTTAGAGGAATGCTCTGACTCCACAGCTGTAGGTCACCTGAGTCTCTGACCCTCCACGCTAACCATGTTGCCTCCCCTTTATCAAAGCTCTGTAAAGCCCTGGTTTCTCCACAATTGGCTTCTACCTTTTCTACTCGGTCAGTTACTTATTGAGGACACAACTTCCCCACGTTCGCTATGTACTTTGGGGCATTCAAATGAGAAATGAAAATAGAATCTCAGAGCCTGCACACGCAGAAGCTGGAGGCTCTTACACCTGAGACTCACCACGCGTTTCGTGGCAGCCTGAAGGAGGACAAGGTACTAGGACCATTTGGGAAGCAGGAGAAGCACCCAGGGAGACTGGCTTCCATACATCGGGCTGTGGGTTTAAGTGTCCATTTGAAAGGTACTGACAGCCTTCTGGAAGAGAAGAAACTTTGAGCTAAGCCTTAAGAGTGAAGGATTTCCATAGACCAAATGAGCATTGAATGTGCAGGAAACAGCCATACCTAGTAACGTGGTGAACCTCAAAAAATGTAGGGATGGTAGAAAAGACTTTAAAGGGTTGTTGACTCACTGATGGAGAACTGATCTGATTGCTTTGCCGTGGACTCTGAGTTTTACAAGGAAGGATCTGCTGAAGATCTTTTGGTGAGGAGTGACCTCATCCAAGTGTATTTTAGGAAGATGAATCCTAAGACCAAGTGAGGAAATGAATCGGAGAAGAGGACACATTTTAATGGAGGAAGCCTCCCAGAACGAAGTAATGCTTCTTAGAAGGTGCCCTATTTTTCAAGTGTGTGTTTGAGTATTATGGAGAGCCGATGGTGGAACAGTAAGTTGTGCGGACTTGTCTGCACAGTGACAGATCACCAGGTGTGGGGAGGGTCATAAGCAAACACTTGTACTAGGATGGACTTGGGAACAGGGCTGGGGACCGGTTTCCTAATCTTGCCTTGGGTTAAAGGAATGTGGATTGCAACACAGGTTGCTAAGACAAGACCAGCTGTCATCTCCTTGGGCAGGTAAGTGGGGAAAAGGCACTGCCCTTAGGCATAAACACCATAAGCCTCAAATAACCAATTTCTTTGAAAGGTTGCATTTCCTTAAGTGGTCAAAATACTGCTTTCCACTGTAGGATCCTCCTAATTGGTTCTATTCTTCAGTTCTGCTGGAACCATTTGGCCTTTCTGTCTCATACTTTGTAGGTTGTCATTATCAGGCAAAGCCAACAAGGGTGTTGTAACAATTTTGAATACCCAATGGCTTGTAAGGCATGACTCAGTTTCCCAGAAGCCATGTGTCTACATAACCTGTGTCTTTCTTCAGCAGTTAGGAAAGTCCTTTTTTTCTTCAGCCTAATGTATCCATTGATTTAATGATCTAAATTCACTTTAGAATGCTCAGGATGAAATTGTTTTTGTTGATGGTGTTTATAAGTGTTCCACTGTGAGCCATTTCTATAGTCTTCAATAATGGAAGTCTCTGAACAGACATGTTTTGTAAATTACCAGCAATCTGGTACGTATGTTTATATTGGACTATTAGGTGGAAAGAAAAATGTGACAGCTGTTTAAAAAGGGGAACTATTTATATTTAGGCTCCTAAAAGAATAACTACATTTTGGGGAGAGGGTAGAGTGGAGGGAGAG